AACTCAAGAAGTCAGGCCCTGACAGCCAATTCTGATTCCGACGAATTCCAGCGGGGGGTTGCGCAGGCACGCCTGCAACAGGCGGTCAAACACTTCGCCAAGGCACCTGCACCGCATGAGAGACGTGGAACATGTATGTAAGACTTACGACTTACGACTTTAGGAGGGCAGTCTTCTCGGAGTTAGCTCCCCGAACCAAACATATGCAAACTGCGTATTGAGACTATGAAGAGAGTGTACCAGTGTACCGCAGATGGAGCAAGCTGTGCGGACATTTGCACGCTTGAAGCAACAAGGCATAGAACTTTATGAACGTAGCCATCCAGCCCTGCTGCCTGTTGATCCGTATGGTTCTGCCGGACTGTTGTTGGATAGGATTTAGCCGTTCTCTCCGGTCCTGACAGACCGTACTAGCCAGTACATATGGTTCAGGCGCTCGAAGGGCAAGCGCGCCAACGTAGCGACACTAGACCCAAACCCAGGGTCTATAAATTGCAACGGGGCGATGGCAAGTAGCATGGAAAGCTTGGATGCACGCACTTCGTCACCAATCCTCAGCTCTCATCTCTGATATCAGGACGTCATGGAGGGCATGGCTGTCAACATCATCGATGAGGACCGCATGCCACGGCGGGAGCTGGCGAGTCGCTGGCCTCTGTAATGAGCAACGTACTCAACGTACTCTATCAGGAGAGGCCTTGAGGGAGACAGGCAACACACGTCCTTGAACGCCGATCTGAACCGATTACCAGGTGGCTAGTCATTGCTACTCAATGCTACTCATTTGTGCGTCTCATGTATAGGGGCTTCCAAGTACATCCACAGGACTGTGTTCCAGTGCATCCATGAGTGAGATGGGCTTGACCAGTCCAGCAAGCACCACGAAAAGCTCGAAAGACATAGCTATAGATGGCTGATGCGGGCCTTACATACGAAAGCCTTCAGGTAGATTGCAGAGCATCTGCTGGATCTGTCTGGGTATGGCAGTTGATGCCGAAGCAGCAACTGAATTATCTGAGAGCTGCACAGGACACCGGTACGGTGTCATCAACTACTCTCGTGATGGACAGGCTCGTTGCGGACACATTACAGAGAAGTAGCCCATCTTGTTCGACTTGGCGCCTGGCTTCGGCATTAGGACGGCGGGTCGATAAAGGGATGAAGACTAAGATAGAGCGCTATGTCTTAATTGCCGTTGGACTTCGAAGACAACATGCTACCAGCATGGTGCGCATCTGCCAAGCTGATTATGCTGCCTTAAACCACCAAATCTACTTGTTAATATTTCAAAGAAACGCCATCTGCTGCGAGCGAGGTCTCTTCGCAATATCCAGATTCGCGAACCGGAGGAGGGATCGAGGAACTATCGCATGCAGGCAACATGGCTCGGTTTGAGAGAGGGAGCACTAGTTCGCAAAAATCGGTTTTCACCTAGAACCGAGTATTTAACCCTCAAGCCCTAAAACTCCAAACCGAGATGATATTGATAAGGTTTCGCAGGTGCACGGCTGTCGGTTTCGCACAGCCTTCCGAGTCTAATGCACGGATAAAGGCTCATGGATATAGGCGGGTATACGACGAGTAATTACCTCAACTGGGTCATCTTCGTTGTAGCAGCAACTCCTAAATCGGGAAAGCAAGTCGGGATTGCAGTTGATGGAAACGCCAAGCACTGCGACGCACCGGCAGCGTCAGAAGTGGCAAGAGTCCAGCCAGTCTGCGAAGCAGCGCATAGCAGCGCTCATTGGCTGATGTCCTGTCAATCTAACTTCCTGAGTAGGCGGGCCCCGTAGAAGGACTTGAATGTAGAACGCTCCTAACGACCATTTAGTTGTCTGGCGACGATGAGATTTCAGGCATAGTCGAAACGAACATCTGGCGACGATGACGACGACGGCTGTGCCTGCCGTAAGCAGCTGTGTGGTTTGAAGTGACGGACCCGGAGAGCCCTATGCAAGGAACGCCTTATATCAAAAAGGTCCTTTTTCAGATGGGTTAAGGAAAATGTACTTCTGGCATAACAGAGGACCACATGTTGTGATTTCAGCAAGATTGCTGAATCGAACTGGTAAGTATCACTGGATTCTAAGATGCCCAGGACATGGCGGCCATTTTCCGAGACACAGAGTTTCAGCAGGTCGTGAGAAGCTTAGTAATTATCGGTTTAAGGCTTCGAGATTCTTGGGTTTGTTGGGACACATTGGCAATCCAGGGGCGCAGGGTTTCAGGGACTTCAGGGTGTCACAGTTCGGGGGCCTTCAGGTTTTAGTTTTCTTGTGTTCGGGGGCAAGCTTGGGGCTGCGCCTTTGGTGTTTGCGGCTTCCGGTGTGAGTTTAAGGTAGAAGAGTTGATCGCTTCAGGGCGTCATGGCTTAACCAGGGCTTTCGGAGTGGTTGGATTCTAGGGCCTGGGAATCTGCTCCCGGAGGTCTTCGGAAAAGGGATCTTTTCCGGAAGTCTTGTTTGGGATTGACAGGCGCTTATATGCGCTTACGCCAAAGTCGAAATCCACCAGGTTCATTCCCCAAACTCCTAAGGACTTCCTGAACCGCTCGAAGGATGGCAAAGCCTTCCACAAGCTTCAGTGAAGTTCGGAAAACCTCTTGACTCTAGATATTAGCGCCTGCCAAGGCCTTCTCTTACACAGTCTTTCTCTTTCCTCTGCTGAGTCTCCACCCAGGTAGTTTTTCGAAGGTTTGGGAAGCTGAAACGATGCCCTGGAAGTATCGAATTTGTTGAGGTTGAGGGCAAGGGTAGCCTGGCCTGCCGTGCCTGTCGATAACCTCTCTTGCAACATGGTAGTGGTAGTCGTAGCAGTAGTAGTAGTAGCAGTAGTCGTCGTAGTAGTAGTCGTAGTCGTAGTAGTAGTAGCGGCGGCAGCAGCAGCAGGAGTAGGAGTAGGAGTAGGAGTAGGAGTAGGAGTAGGGGTAGGAGTAGGAGTAGGAGTAGGAGTAGGGGTAGGAGTAGGAGTAGGAGTAGGAGTAGGAGTAGGAGTAGGAGTAGGAGTAGGAGTAGGAGTAGGAGTAAAGTAGGAGTAGGAGTAGGAGTAGGAGTAGGAGTAGGAGTAGGAGTAGTAGTAGTAGTAGTAGTAGTAGTAGTAGTAGTAGAAGTAGAAGTGTAGAAGTAGAAGTAGAAGTAGTAGTAGTAGTAGTAGCAGTAGCAGTAGTAGTAGTAGTAGTCGTCGTCGTCGTCGTAGTAGTCGTAGTCGTAGTACTATTAGTACTGTTGGTAGTGGTGGTAGTGGTAGTCGAAGTGGTCATCGTCGTAGTAGCAGCAGTCGCAGCATTGCAACCCAGAGCCAGTTCAACTTGTACCAATGTGGGGGCCTGGCTCCGAGCCTGGTTTTTGTGCAAGGTCCCGAGCTTGGCTCACCTGGCCCCGCGATGCATAGCCGTGGTGCCTGGCCGAGGGTTTAGCATTTAGGGGCCGGGACTTCGTTGTTCTCCTGATCCTTTCTTTTAAGCTGCGGCTCTCTGACCACACATCTGAAGAGGTGGAGGCAATGAGGAAATCGGTTTTCGGCTTGTTTACGGCGTCGGTTAAGGTCTGCGCGCGAAGTCAATACGTGACTTATAAGGTTTTGGGGGCTTAGCCAGGATTCTCGATTTCTGGTGGCATTCAATGGGATCATGTCCGTCCAACCGGGATGCCGCATTGCTGGGTGTCTCGGTATGGGCCTGCTGTCGGCAACAAGCAGCAGGATCAATAAGGCTACACCAAGATTTGAAATCGTAGCCACACCACCAAGGATTTCAGCAGAGAGACTGACTTTCGGCTGTGCTTTCAGTTCCAGGCCGGCCTTGCAAGAGACCCTGCACTACCCATCGGATTCACGCGAAAGGTCATGCCTACAACAGTTTTGAGTTAATCAGTTCGTCATGCAGGTGACGCATGGTATTTGTGGTCCCTTTGTTTGAGTGTGATACTGAATCTGGCATGCAAGCATTGCTGATGGGATCGGGGATCTCCAGGATTCCGATCAGCGTGACAACTTCTACAGCTGTCTGAAGCTGCTTGTCCTCGACAGGGTAGCCTCAGGGGATCTCAAGGTTGAAATCGCGGAGTGCTACTGCTAAGACGCAGACCCTTGAGTCCTGACTGTCAAGTTTGGAGTTTGCTGGTTACCACTCCGAAAACGGCGGTTTTCTTGCCCCATCGAATGCCTGACATGTTGACCTGACCTTCAGTACTGAGAAGTCGACAACCTCCGCACATGTCTCGCACACATCCATTTCAGCTACGTTTTTCACCACTGTAGCCCACCTTTGCAGTCGATCAAGTGACGTTTCTTCGTGACGTGGCATATACGGGATGAAAGCGCATGTGCCGTGAACGGTTTGCAGTTCCCGAACGTGAGCCCCAGGATCTTACGGATGTCCTTGGACGCAAGCACGCTTCCTCGAGATGATGCAGAGTGAACGACGCCTGTCCAGAAGTGTGCAACAAACACATTGCAGGGTAGCCAGCACTCCATCTCCTTCAGTGGAGCTTAAGAATAACGGCATGCATTTTTCGCTTGGATTCTGGGGCGGCGGCACTGCAGGAAATCCTTTCTCAGTTTTCTCGCCGCATATATCGAAGAGGCAAAGTCCTTCCTCAACATCTCAGCTCACGCTTTTAGACCTTTGAAGGCGAGGGTATTACTATGTTGTTTTTGCCAAGTGCTACATGCTTTTGGTCTTGAACCGCACGCCAATCATCCATCCAATGATTGTTCCGGTGATCCGTGATGCTTCTGCTCGTCCTGGTGGCAAAACAAAAGGATGGCCCAGCCGCTCAGTCAACGTGCCGCAAAGTGGTGCGGGCGCCCTTCGAGGTCGTGATGCGGCAAAGTGTCCGCGGATGTATGCAGATGCCCGACAAAAATCATCTCCCACGCCTGTTCGGGGACTCAGGATTACTCACTCGTTACTCGTTGTTCGAATACACTTCACAACCCTATCTTCCCATTAAGGCCCCTGTATTATTATCCATGTTCAATCGGGTCCTGGCTTGGACCAGGAGCTACTTCGCGCCTTGCAAAAGCCTGGCTACGAGCAGGCGTTGTTGCGCATGGCTGGGAGTTTGGGCTCTGGGCACGTAGCCTAAACTAGTTAAAGCGAATGTAGGGGCCTTAATAATTAGAACATGGTGTGGGGGTATATTATAGTGTAATGATAATAAGGAACCCCCAAAACTCTATTGGAATGATTAAGGACCCAGCAGGAAGACCCTAAACAGTATTTCACGTTTGGGTTGGGTCACTTCAGCCGTGTTCCCAATATTGGTTATCAGACCTACGCAGCCTGGTTGTGTACTATAGGAGCCTTTAACTAAATACCAATACTGTTTTGGGAGGCTTCCTTGTTATAGTTATAGTACAAGGGGCCCCGAACCCCTATTCTAATTATGAAGGCCCCTTTTGTTGGTTCTCCTCGTGGGCATCGTCGTAATCATCAAAGGGAGTATGTAATGTAGAATGTAGATTTTGTCGTAGCAGCAGCCGCGGAGTAGGAGCAGGGCAAGGCGTAGGAGAAGTAGTAGAAAACATAATAGAGGAACAGCGACCGCAGTAGAATAAAAGAAGCAGCAGCGTAGTGGTTGCAGCAGCGGCCGTACGGCAGTAGCAGGCGCAGGCGCAGGTGCAGTGGCAGTGGCGGCCGTAGCAGCAGCAATAGCAACAGGGAGGGAGCCGGAGAAGGAGCAGGAGCGCTGTGTGGCAGTCCCGCGAAGCTCAGACAGTCGCAAGTAGCAGAGTGTGGTAATCTCGGTCAGGTGCATTGTAATAGTCCGGAAGTGCCGAGGAGGAGTATGAACCTTTCATGCCCATGCAAGGACCATGCTTTGCATCACGGTTATGGCTGTAAGGGGCAATGTACCGGCTTCTGTTGAAGGTGTTTCTCAAGACTGCAGGTGCCGGATTGCAGCCGCCTGTGCACAGCCACATTCGCTGGCGCCCAAGATGAAGGATCTTCAAGTGTATTGCTTTGCAGGCAAGATGCTGGGCAGCCTGCCGTCATGACGGAAACTCAACCAACAGAGAAAGGAGGGCGTGATAGTACGCGCTATTATGCAATTCCGAGTGGATGCCAAATGCTAGCGAACCTCGTCGTGCCCCACCCAAGCTGTCGTGCAGAATCCCAGCGCAGACCGATCAGGCAGTCCCTGTACGATGCTACCACGATACAACCCCCAGCCCTAGTCTAAGGCTCCCTTATTCGCAACCTGGTCTGTCGAAAGGGTTTGGAACTCCAAAGCTTGGATTCGGCTTCATCGAAGTGTCGACGATACGGAAACGCATCTTAAATCAGGTGTCCTTCTTCTTGGGGTCTTTTCGTCAGTTAGGGATTCTACTGTGCTGTTCAGGGTTCTGCAACGGGGTTCATTCTCTGTTCTCAAAGCTTAAACATCTTTTCGGCTTGCCGACAGAGGTACTGAAGGATTTGCGCACAAAGCCCGAGCCCAAGTGTTACTACTGGCCCAACTCGTGTTTTACAGGTGTCGGAGAGAGTCCTGTAATTTGCCGGTTGTCGCGCTGCATCCAGGACATGTACTGGACATGTTCTTGGGCTGAATACAACGATCGCAAATTGCCATGCAGGGCATCGAGCTCCAAAACCATTTGTCATGCCCGCTTCAGGGCAGACTGCGGAGATTTTCAACCAACGCGCTTCCGGAGCTGAGGTACTGCAAGCAAACGAAGGCGTGCGTGCTGGAGTTCGACCACTTCTGCGGGTTTTTCATCTCAGCTTCTGTGAGCTGCGCATGGGTAGCTGTGAGCCATGTGCCCCATGGGAACGCTTGCTGCGGCCCCCGGCCCCAAATCTAGTTCTGAAACGATGTACTGGGGCAGACGGCAGCCAAGGATCAAATTGTAGACATACTTCGGAGAAGCAAAGAACGGACACTGGCAGAGTCTTCATGTTAGGCAGGTGCACAATTACATGCTTCCTCTGAGCTGACTCGCCCCAACTCCGCGGTCTCAGTGACCCACAGAAGCACAGCCATAAGTCACTGCTTTTCACAGCTACGTTCGCTTGAGTTTGAGAACCCTAGCGGCCCATCATATGCCTAAGCACAATTCTTTCAGTAGGTGATCTTGCAAGCAGCAATGGCTCCGCTTTAGCCGCGCCAACCCTCTTGCTTCAGCGGTTTGGATCTCAGCTCAAGTTGTTCAGTCAGCCTGCTGATTGCAGCAGGCGCATGCAGTGCGACCGCACCCGGAGATTGTTGTTGGCACCGTAACCCCCAAGGCACAACCTTTAAATGCAAAGCCCCAATCTTTGCGCTCCTAACCCTAACCTAGGCTCCTAAGCCCTAAATCACCAGCTGCAGCACAAGGCACGAGCTGCAGCATTGCTGCACAGCTGCTGCTCAATGGCCAGGATCTTACATTTCAAGAGCATTGAGGTTTCGGACGCGAGTGCTTCGGGCTTACATTGGCTTACATGGGACTCTCTGCGTTGGTGGTTCCGGGTTTTAAGGTCGGCTTCAGGTTGTGAGGTTCCCATGTCAAGCGTCAGCAAAGCATCTCCTGCCGATGCAGTGACATGTGCACGTATCGGAACTTGTGTGACACCAGCTCCCCGCAATACTGGCTTCTGAATATGAATACCTGGAAAACCCGGTAGCCGGAAATAACCGGCAACTGACGAAAGGAGCTTGCTTTTAAATGTTTTTTTGCTCAGTGCCCGTTTTAGTTTGGGCGAAGCAATGCAACAAAAACAAATTCAGATGTGTCGATGAGTTTTCCTGGACATATTGCTCCACAGCTCGCGTCGACTTGTCAGTTTTCTGTTTCGCCCGCAGATTCGTCGAAACGGTGACACTGTGGTGAAAAGCCTGTGTTTTGGATCGGTCGCTAGCTGACTTGTGTCACGACAAGAGAAATTTTTGAGATGAAGTCCATGTCCATCTGCGCTCATATATCGGTAAAGGGGCCACCGACGGCCTCTGTTACATGCTGCTGCCCGTAGATTTTTGATGTGCGCGAGGTTTATGGCACTTCTGCATTAGTTTTAACCATGTTCTCTGAACGACAAAACTGCGGTGGGATGTCTCCAGATTCGGTGCTTTAAAACTTCCAGGCTGGCCTGAGCGGCAACATCACATCTTTCGAGGGACTGCCATAGCCCAGATCCATGTACTCTGAAAGCATAGCAAGAACTCTTCACCTATTCATGTCGCGCAACACTGTCTTCGAAGTCCTTGTCCAAGACACATTGCATGAACTATGACAAGGGGCTCGGTCCCGGTTCAACAACATTGCACCAATACGTTCAGACTCAAGTAGAAAGCCTCATCGCAACCCAAATCTTACTTCCTCACGACTTTCTCGGCTGCCTTGGGATGCAATCGACCCGTGCGGTGTTTGGCATTCCAGGCAGCTCTTGTTGCAGCACACGCTATCCCTTCAATCTGTTGCTTTTCCTTCTATATCTTTTGTTGTCCGACTTGACAAATCGAGGCTCCCTGAAGGATTGCCCCGCGCACATCGTGGGACAGCTATGGGCTTCCGAGACAAGATGTCATGATTTGCCTTTCACAGCGGCTAGCTAAAAACCAAGAAGCATGCATGGACTCCAGCAGCGATCATACACAACCGTGGCCATGCGAATTACGATTTTTTACGGCACTTTGTCGCCTTTTTACGGCACTTTACGGTTTTTTACGGCACTGCACTTTTCTTCTCGATCGTACCGAAATCGATCGATCCGACAAAAATTGTTTAACAGCTGCAAAATTTCGTCGCGGTTTTGCGTATCGAAACCAAACTCCGGACACATCTAGCAACATCCTGCAACTCATCAACCAATCCGGCAACCTTTATCGTAAACTTTTGGCTCCCCGATGAAGATCCCGCAGCCGCCGTTAACTTTCCTGTACATTCTACGACTGACGCGATAAATCCCGCAAGATGCTGCAAGCAACACCGACGAGCTCCCGATGAACACAACTTCCTCAGCCCTGCAACTCCGCAATGAAACTCTGGAGATTATATGCAGCCCCAAGTGACAATCGATACGTTTCCATCCTTACATCAAATGTATATAGGTATCCGTGTATGTACATGCAGTCGCACCTGTATAGAGCTGTAAAGTCGCGTTTTCTATCACGGCATGTTTTTACGTGTAGACTGCATAGCTAACACATGTAGGTGTAGGCCGGAGCAACAGAAGCCCACTTCCAGTATGCAAGCACTTCTTAGACCTGCAGGTTTCGGGGTTCAGGGTTCGTTCTCAAGACATAATATCGTTTCCAGCTTTTCGCTTATATGTACGTTTGATAGAGGCCTTGCAAGTACTGCACATGTGCACACGCACGCATGTAAATCTTGCGGCGGCACATAGCCCCCATGGCCCTCACATTTTTGGCATGGGATGTGGTCGTTGGGCTGTATGGATATTGCCAGTATATTTCAAATCTCAGCTAGAACTGGAAGTGTTGATATCCTTGCCCAACGAAGCACATCTCTTTGCAGAAGACAAACGGTGTTTTCCCAAGATCTACGAAGCATCATATATAGCCGAATCAAACCTGTGTAAGGGTCTTTTAAAGTTTGGCAAAACCGTGAAATTTACCGCTTGGGCCTAATAATGGTCACAGTGACCTTTTTCGTTTGCGGCATATCCCGGGAGCATGTTTTGGCAGCTACTTTAGCAAAGGCGCTCGTTTTCGCACGGTAGCCTATTATTTTGGCCACTTTGGTTTTCCAGGTAATATCTCCTTACAGTCCCTCTAAAATTATGCTATTGTAGACCCCAAAATCCTTATTCCCCACATCACTGTGTGGAGTTCTTACTTTTTGGGGCTGTCCCGCCTCCTTCTCCTTCTCCTCCTCCTCCTCCTTCTCCTTCACCTTCTCCTCTTTCTCATCCTCCTCCTCATTCTCCTCATCCTCCTCATCCTCCTCATCCTCCTCATCCTCCTAATCCTCCTCATCCTTCTCCTGACTTCGTGATGCAGACACACACACACACACACACACACATGTATACACACATGTACATGCAAGACCCCGG